AGGGTGTGTGTCACTCTTGTGCATTGACCACGTGGCTGTGGCGTTTTATTGATATATTCTGATTAAGCACAGTTCGGCGTTCCTTTTGTGCATATTTGTGTACCTGTCTATGTGTGTGCACGTGTTTGTGTTTATAAAATATAATCAGCTGAAATGGCTTCTCAGCTTGTGCATCTGGCAACCAGTACATGTGAACTGCTGCCAATCTGATATTCTTGTTTGCTGTGGAAGGTTCAATGTACAAAGTAGAGGCTATCAGTGACATATATACACACACACACACACACATATATATATATGTTCTAATCTGCGACGATTTGGTCAGTTGCCTATATCCATTGTTTCAGGATGCTCGTTGCTACGCGGAGGCGAAATTATTGGTCTAAAATGGGGCTTAACAGCTCTTCTATGACAGGTCGAGGGCTCTTGATAAACTAAAGACCTAACGCACGTGCACGAACAACTCCAGGCACCGTTGCTTATCAATATATCTGCGATAAGTACACCCGGATCTGCTTTGTCGCGTAAATCACATAGTCTGCTGAGATATTACCGGCAGATGTATTCCTTACCCCGCACTAACAAATATAAACCCTTACTACCAGGACGGCGAAACAGAAGAGGCCTTCGTTGAACGGGTGCTTTTGTCCCCACCACCAACTGATACCGGGACGGATACCGGGACGGGCGAAGGGAATGTGGCGTATGGATTTCCCGCAATGGAAAAGGGCATGGACGCATACGTCAGTTGCGACCCAGGCCCAGAGTGGCGCACGGCCACATCAAGGTAAGCTATATAGGTCTAAGCTACACCGACTGTAACTACACCTATGCTACTTAAACCATTGCATCAAGGTAAGCTATATAGATCTAAGCTACACCGACTGTAACTACACCTATGCTACTTAAACCATTGCATCAAGGTATGCTATATAGGTCTAAGCTACATCGACTGTAACTACACCTATGCTACTTAAACTATTGCGTCAAGATAAGCTATATAGGTCTAAGCTACACCAACTGTAACTACACATATGCTACTTAAACCATTTTTTAAACTATTGCATCAAGGTAAGCTATATAGGTCTAAGCTACACCAACTGTATCTACACATATGCTACAAACCATTGCATCAAGGTATGCTATATAGGTCTAAGCTACATCGACTGTAACTACACCTATGCTACTTAAACTATTGCATCAAGGTAAGCTATATAGGTCTAAGCTACACCAACTGTATCTACACATATGCTACTTAAACCATTGCATCAAGGTAAGCTATATAGGTCTGAGCTACACCGACTGTAACTACACATATGCTACTTAAACCTTTTGTTGGCTATGTTCATGATAATGTCATGACTTACTGGTTGTGCTGTTAATGCGAGAGAGGAGTTTTTATTCACGAGCATGCCGCTATTGCATGTGTTCCGTTTGCCGTACGCGTTAAATCGCATTGAAACTCGTACACATTTGAGAGAAGAAGTGTAGCAAACAAGAAAGTTTCTTCATTCCACGCTAGCTTTCATACCAGAGGAATGACAGCATAGCGTGATGTACACTCATCTCACCACAACAATCCAACTCAACTGAACTCAACACGCTGCTACGTTGCACAGGAAACAAGTACTCGAGAAAGAAAACTCGAAGAACGGCATCACAAAGAACGATCGCAGGCTCATCCACGAGGAGGGCATTGCGGCCATCAGGGCAGCGCACAATGCAACCACAAAGGCCAAATACGCGGCAAACGACGCTCTTAGCAGTGCCACGTGCTGTGAAGGGGCGAGATAGCAACAGGGGAGTATCATACAACGGGTTATATCATGTTATTTAAGATCCAGGTGTTCATAAACAGGCGCGTGTAGGATTGCCAGCTCTCAATTGTATTGAGTCTGGCAGAGGACATGCGGCATTAGTAATGTGCAAGAAACCGCAGCGACAGACGATCCTGATGAATTCCTGAGACAGAGTTCTTCGGATGAATTGGTATATAGTACACAGTACAGCAAGTAGAAATAAAATATCAACGTTCGGAAGGAATGTATTCTAAAATAGTAGATAAATATAAAACAAAAACTATTGAAATGATACAAAAAGACTATTGAAATGACACAAAACACAAACTATTGAATTAATTAAAACACAAACTACTGAAATCACACATAGCACAAACTATTGAAATTTAACACTGTGGAAGAATGTTTAATAGGGAGTACAAAACACAAACTCTAACTATAGAATTTCGACGTCGCTGGCAATGTTATAGCGTAGGACATCCAGCATATGGCAAGTGAAACTATGCTCACGACAATAGCGTATATGACCTAAGTTGAAATCCACTGAGCAGCTTCGTATCTACAATCCAGGTTAAGCTATTTAAATGTATACCATAAACAGATGTGCACAGGGCTAGTTGCAATTACTTGCATTCGTTCATATAAGGGTACTTGAATATTATACATCTGTGCATACACCGAAATCTCTTTTCTCTGGAGTGCTTACAACTCAATATGGCTTAAAATTTCTATAGAATCTAAAACATTCGCATTGTCACTGCTAGAAAACTTACGTACGTGATTTCTTGTACGTATATGCGTAGGCGTACTACTATGGTGTTTGTGTGAACAATATGCCTGTGTATGTTGTCATCACAAAGATGAGTGTTGAAACCTTGTTACACATAACAACACCTTTTTTATATAAAATAAACCCAGAAATAAATACCGTATCATAGGTATGTCCAACTAATAATATGTACTCATTGACGCTCATAAAGACATAAACAAGTTCCAATGATCATCCATGCTCGACTCATCTCTCTACTTAGACTCTCACACACAGACCACAGTTCACACTTCACAGACATCACGAAGTTCACGTGGTACAGTTGTACATATCACAAGTGAGTGGAAGAATGAAGAGAGAGACTGTCAAGTGGCAGACTGTGGAGCGAGAGAGGAGTAGGGGAGTTCGGACTTTCGAAGTCGACCTTTTTGTTTGTTTGAACTTCTTACGATTAACCCTTTTAATTTTTTTTTTACTAAACATTAGGAGAAATCTTGAAACCACAGTATTAGCCTAATGCGCTGTGTGTATTCTGTCCTCTACTGTCCTGAATCCTGATGTCCTCAGTCCTCAGTCCTCAGCTTCCTGGGAAGAATTACGAAAGTGGCAAACTGCAGACCGATCACCGAATCTGTAATCTGTTGTTTTCAGATACTTTATTTTAAAAAAAACTATTTTTTAAATAGACTAAAAGAGAGTAGAGAGTAGAGAATAGAGACTAAAACTATAAAGCAAATTAGTCACACAAGAGGCTATGTATGTCTAAACTATAAAGGCACAAACACCCAAACTCTCAAAGTCTCAGACTTAGTTTCAAACAGACAAACACAAACAGAGTCTGAAACTGAAATAACACTTTGTATATCATGAGTCATTCATGACTCATGTGATGACTGACGCAGGAGATCGCGAGCCGGTGGGCCGTGGGCAACTATATATTTTGTTTCAAAAATAACATAGTTGATTGTTCTATCAGAAGTGGACGCCATTGGTTGTCACCTTGGGAATGCCATAGTCAATGGCGCTAAATTGAAAATTGATTACTCTAAAGTAAACACATCAATATTATTAGCCTTCTAATTGTTTTTATTTATTTAAAAAAAAACAAGATAGAAAACTAGCACGAACCCAAGACTCCAAAGTTTAAACTTTGTCGTTCTTGTTTTTGGTGTTAAAAAAATATACAAAATAAATACCTTGTTTAACTTTTCTCTATTGATTTTCAGAGGCTCCAGATAATACAAGAGGAAGTCGACTAAAATACAGGTCACAGTAAGCAGCACTCAGCAGTATTATTAAAATGGCCACACGCATTTCTATTGGTTCTGCTCTTGACACTTACAATACGTCAATATATTGTCAATGAAATTGTCTTACGTACTCATTGCTGTATGTACAATATTGTACATACATAATAATTTATTTATTTAAAAAAAACCAAAATACAAATTCAATGTTTTTTATAATAATAATAAAAATGCATGCGTGAGGGTGTACAATTTTTTATTTATTTTGATAAAACAATAAAAATATGTATGTATTTATCTATTAGTCACAGGGCTCATATTCAACACTTCTTAGACGCTATTAACAGCTGAGTTGTGGCGGCGCCATCAGATATTAGCGGTCGCTGCATTAAACCGTGAGGAATACACCAGAGTAGTTAATCCACCCCACGACACCCAGAAATAGACTATATAGACTACACACTAAACACTAGCAGACGGAACAAACTCAGATAGATTCACTGCAAGATGCCTTTTGTAGAAGTGAGTACGACACCCCTTGAGAAGGTGGCTTCGGTTGGCTACGCTTTGTACAAATACTTCGCTCCACAGAAGAGACACCCGGTCATACTCAATGAATTCACCACAGACGACAAAAAGAACAAAACAATTAAAAAAAGCAAGGAAAAGAGGCGCAAGAGTATCTCCAACAATCTGTCACGGTCAGACTCGAAGGACTCGAAGTCAGGATCGGCAGGGTCAGACACACAGGCGACGATGACAAACCAAGCTGTGACAGGATCAGGGTCTCTTGACCTGGGGTCCGATGCAGCTCAGTCCACCCCAGAGACTACGGAAGAGCAACTGGAGGAGTATGCAACAGATCTCGAGATAGCCAAGAACCTCAACAAGAAGATTCTGGGTGAACAGGGCAAGTTCCTTAGTTATGACGGGGCCAAGGTCGATTACGCAGCGCTAGCAGAGGTGTGTCTAGTGTGTCTATATGGCATCTTGTGTGAGTGTAGTTCAAAGAGCAACAGATTTTATAAGTGATGATTGCTTATTTAGAACAAGTGTCACTTGCCATGTCGTAATACACCCAATGTGACTGATCATGAGCTGTGCTAGCAAATTGGTTTCTACCGCGCCTTTGACACATAAATAATAGTATATAGATATTGATATATATATATATATATATATATATATATATGTGTGTGTGTGTTGTGTGTGCGTGTATGTATATGTATATGTATATGTAAATATATATAAGTATATGTATGTGTATCTATAGGTATATATATATATATATATATATATATATATATATGTATATATATATATATATTTATATATATATATATATATATATATACGTGGGTGTGTATGTGTGTGTTTGTTTGTTTATATATATATATATAAATATACACATATATATATCATATATATATATATATATATATATATATATATATATATATATATATATAATATATAATATA